GAGAGCAATGCTCTGCAATAAATTCATAGACAGGAACAGTAATCTGGCAACAATAGATGTAGCTCACTATAGATGTAGCTCACCAAACTGTGGTGCTTGCTCCTTTATGTGGCATAGGAAGAAGGCAGTAGGCAGCTCTAACGGCACCAATTTTTCGATTAAACAATTTTTAAATTGTGGTTCACAATATGTGATTTATGGTATTATTTGCCCTTGTGGGAAACTATACATAGGCCGTACATCCAGAACCCTAAGAATTTGTTTTGGGGAACATAAAAGAGATATCCTCAACAAAAAGGATGAAGGTACCCACTTTAGGAGATTGTGTAATAGAGGCTTTTTGGATCTATTCTCTGAATAGTCTAGTTCTAGCAGTTCTCAAAGAAGGCATAGAACCAGCTTCTGTAATATAGGGCATGCTTCATATAAGCTATAACTAGTATCCATTCTTTATACTGTATATGCTTTATAACATCACTGTTTTAACAACAATATCTTTTAGGCTCAATGTATACTGTAGTTATATAATCTTGTTCATATACTATACGTATGTTCTCAGACTCTCCATAAACATGAGCCAAAGAACTCGAAATAAGTTCAGACATGTTTTTGAATCTGTTTATATACATTTGTAACAAAACATATCTAATTAGTTAACATCAATTATATATATACACATAGTATTCAAGACATGGGTTAGTTAATGTATCAATGAATTATTAATCATTATATATTTTGTTTTATAAATAACAAGTAACTACATTTTCTGAACTTCATTATAGTCTTGTTGATAATAAGTTCCAACTTGTGGGAGGTTTATAGCCATATTATATACACAATATACAATATAAATTAGGTATATTGTCAGCTTCACATTTGGATAATATTTATTTTATTTTATTCCAAACAAACAATTATACATTTGCCTTATATCCATAAAAAAAAATTCCAATATATATCATACCCAAGCTATATCCAGCTTCGTTTCCCCCTCTCTTCACAATCTTTCATTATTTATATGTTCTAATGATATCCTTTTACACTTACATTGATATCACCCCTCCACTAAATACTTCGATAAGTGTACGTAAACATCTGAATGTGCAAGATATAGTATGCCATACATTCTCTGAGAGAGAAGCGGAGAGCTCTTATAAGTCCCACTGCTCTAAATCCAAGAGCTCCTATGTGCTTTTTACATTTACTAACAAACAACCAACAAAACAGGACAATACAAGGCAACACCAGCCAAGACAAAAAAAAACCCCACAAATGGGGGACACATTAGAAGTTTCTATTTAATTTAATCCTCTTTTTCAAGAAATCCACATAAGCTGGGCGAGGTTAGAAATTCCCTCCATGTGCTCCATATTGTTTCATAGACATTAAGCTTAGCAGAAAGTTTATCCATGCGCATTAGATCATTTACTTCTATTATCCAGTCTTTAATTGCAGGTATCTGTGATGAATTCCACAGTCTGGGTATGGGAGCTCGGGCTGCCGCTAGAAGAAATCTAAGTACCCCCTTCCTAACTGCCTTAGAATCTGTTTATATACATTTGTAACAAAACATATCTAATTAGTTAACATCAATTATATATATACACATAGTATTCAAGACATGGGTTAGTTAATGTATCAATGAATTATTAATCATTATATATTTTGTTTTATAAATAACAAGTAACTACATTTTCTGAACTTCATTATAGTCTTGTTGATAATAAGTTCCAACTTGTGGGAGGTTTATAGCCATATTATATACACAATATACAATATAAATTAGGTATATTGTCAGCTTCACATTTGGATAATATTTATTTTATTTTATTCCAAACAAACAATTATACATTTGCCTTATATCCATAAAAAAAAATTCCAATATATATCATACCCAAGCTATATCCAGCTTCGTTTCCCCCTCTCTTCACAATCTTTCATTATTTATATGTTCTAATGATATCCTTTTACACTTACATTGATATCACCCCTCCACTAAATACCTTCGATAAGTGTACGTAAACATCTGAATGTGCAAGATATAGTATGCCATACATTCTCTGAGAGAGAAGCGGAGAGCTCTTATAAGTCCCACTGCTCTAAATCCAAGAGCTCCTATGTGCTTTTTACATTTGCTAACAAACAACCAACAAAACAGGACAATACAAGGCAACACCAGCCAAGACAAAAAAAAACCCCACAAATGGGGGACACATTAGAAGTTTCTATTTAATTTAATCCTCTTTTTCAAGAAATCCACATAAGCTGGGCGAGGTTAGAAATTCCCTCCATGTGCTCCATATTGTTTCATAGACATTAAGCTTAGCAGAAAGTTTATCCATGCGCATTAGATCATTTACTTCTATTATCCAGTCTTTAATTGCAGGTATCTGTGATGAATTCCACAGTCTGGGTATGGGAGCTCGGGCTGCCGCTAGAAGAAATCTAAGTACCCCCTTCCTAACTGCCTTAATTGATCCTGGGATAATTAAGAATAATGCGACCTCCGGTGTTTCAGGCATCACCCCTTCTACTACTTGATTTATTATCTCTCTATATATATATATCTACATACATTTACAGTACAACCTACATGATTTTGCATTTTACCATGTTGGAGGTGTCCATACATAAATTCGATGGCTGCACGTATATGCCTACAGACAGTAGATAGTTGTACATGCACAGCCATCTACATTTTGCCTATATTTGTTTTGGTCCTATTTACCTATTTATTTTATATTTTATTATTAAAACATATTATTATTATTGTAGTCTGTTGTTCGGTCTTAAAACAAAACAAAAATTATATA